ATTGTGTGCATTTGTTGGATCATGTGGCTGCGGTTATTTTATCAAAACACACAGAATATTGGATATTTTTTTGGTATTTTGATAAGGATTTACAAATGTGCATATACTGTGCAGACCTGTAATTGTAGACATTAAGATTGAGAACAGTGGTAAGTACAATGCATGTGAATGAAATATGTTATAGCAATAAGAAAGAAAACAGTGTCAGCGTGCGTTTTGGCTTCTTACTGTGTAGATAGGCTAATTAAATTTTTTCGTTGTCTGGCAAAGAAATGTAGGTCAGCCTTTTTAGAAAGTAAACGAATGGAACCTGAGCCAGAAAGTGTCTTCAGCATCAGTCCAGCTGCAGTGTTTCAAGTTTTATGATATGATTGTTTCACATTTGAACATCACAGTAGGCCAAATATTAGCTTGCAAAGATTAAGCATATGGCAAGAGAAAAATGTATAGGTTGTAACTCCAGTGTAACTCAGCAATAAATGCAGAGGTTGGGAAAGTTCTGGTTTAGTACATGAAGAAATGTTCTAGAGAAACATGTCAGCTTGTGACATTAAAACAAACTGTTTTTGTACTTTGTCTCTACTGACTCTACGTTTATCACTAAAATACATTGTACCAATCAAAGGTTTGGACGCACTTGATTAAATATAAATTTTTCATAAAGATATACACCGATCAGGCATAACATTATGACCGCCTCCTTGTTTCTACGCTCATTGTCCATTTTATCAGCTCCACTTACTATATAGGTGCACTTTGTAGTTCTGCAGTTACAGACTGTAGTCCATCTGTTTCTCTGCATAACTTTGTTAGCCTCCTTTTACCCCGTTCTTCAGAGGTCAGGACCCCCATGGACCCTCACAGAGCAGGTACTATTTAGATAGTGGATCATTCTCAGCACTGCAGTAACACTGACATGGTGGTGGTGTGTTCATGTGTGTTGTGCTGGTACGAGTGGATCAGACACAGCAGTGCTGCTGGAGTTTTTAAACACTGTGTCCACTCACTGTCCACTCTATTAGACACTCCTACCTTGTCAGTCCACCTTGTAGATGTAAAGTCAAAGATGATAGCTCATCTGCTGCTGCACAGTTTGTGTTGGTCATCCTCTAGTCCTTCATCAGTGGTCACTGGACGCTGCCCACAGGATGCTGTTGTTTTGATATTTTTGGTTGGTGGACTATTCTCAGTCCAGCAGTGACACTGAGGTGTTTAAAAACTCCAGCAGCACTGCTGTGTCTGATCTACTCAGACCAGCACAACACACACTAACACACCACCACCACGTCAGTGTTACTGCAGTGCTGAGAATGATCCACCACCCAAAAATGTTATGCCTGATCGGTGTATGTGTAAATGCTTAAAATATAAAGATGAAATTGTTGCCTGCACTCTTAAAAAAACACATGTGAATGGCTCTTGGCTTTTTACAGTGATTTTCTGAGACCACCTTTCATTTACTTAATTTCCAGTCAAAACAGTCATGAAGTACAAGGTAATCATTTTTCTGGAGATATATCTGAGGACATTAGATAAAAGATGCTCCACTTGGATAACAAGAAAGACAAAGGAAAAGAAGTGAAAAACAATAGTTTTCAAAACTGGAGTTCAATCAAGTATTTAAAAGTTGTTAAGCTCCACTCGTACTTCAGATCTGAAAAATCCACAGGTGTTTCTGTCCATCCTTCCACTGTGAGAAGACAACTCAACACTGTGAGTCTGGAAGGATGTGTAGCTGTAAGAAGATGTACTGAGAAAAGAAAATAGACAAAAAAAAAAAGAAAAACATAAGCTGCTGTTGTTCTCAGAACAATGGACTGACCACACCAGTCCAGACCTCAACATAATTGAATATGTTTGGGATTATTTGGATCCCAAAGCAGAAAATGCAACCAACTTCTAAGACTGAACTTTGGAGGTGTGGAAAAATATCCCTACAGATTTCTTTAAAAAACTGAAAGCAAGTCTCCTGAAAAGAATGGAAGCTGTAATAAAGACAAAGGCCCAACACACTTAATACTGAAAATATAGTTCATTATACTTAGATGTTTTGGCTTCTTTGTAATTTTCTGTTAAATGTATGTTTTCTGCTGTTTTCCCCAATGCTAAAAAAGGAATAATTTGCACTTAATGGCTGTTCTGACTGGAAACGTAAAAAAAAGGTATATTATATAATTAAAAATATCAGGATATCATTCAAATATGGCCCGTCCCTCTTTCTTGGTTCAAATTAATGAATATCAATGTTGTTACTAAACAGTCTTAAATAAAGGAGAGGTGCTGAATTGCCCCTGTAATTATAAGATCAAAAGAAAGCACCCCTCCCCTCCTCCTCAATTACATGGCGAGTGAAGTGGGGTGAATAGGCAGCACTTAATTAAACCCTCCAGAGGGAAACTTCTAGGAGTTTGAACGCCTCTGCTGTTTTGCTCTGCTGCTTCAGCCATCTTCCACAGTCAGCAGTGGATGATGTCATGGTTGTTGTTGATTGTAATGTGCTGTGGCTCTGAGGCTCATTCAGCACAACAGAACAATGTGTTGTTGGCACTAGTCCTTCTAGTTGGAGAGTCTTTGGGAAAGGCCTGCCCTGAACTGACCACCAGAGACTACTTCAGCGTCTAATGTGTTTTTGTGTGTAGAGGGTTTGTTTTTCTACATTTACAGTACGAACTATATCTTGACCTTGTAGACATACAATATCAGGACTAACAAATGACTTCTTAGCAAAGCTGCATGTTTCACTGAAAAGCAAATATGTTTCTTTTAGTGACTGAGGTTAAGGTGAGGGTAAGGCTCAGAAAAATCCTATTATATCTAGATAGCTGCATACATGCCTTCAAAATGCATGAGACATATTATTGCATACAGGTACTTTGAGGGATAAAATAAGGCTTTTGTCTTATTTGTTCTAATTTGAAGCAAGATTTTTTTCCATTTTAATGAGCTTCATTACTTTTAGTAATTCAAAAATATTATTTTCAACATGTGAACGCAGAATTCACATGAACCTGACCAAGAAAATGACATGGTTTCCATTAACACGAACATGGTTTTAACCTCCAGCGTCCAGTGAGAGCAACAGTGGCTGCACGTTCCAACCAATGAGTGTATGTATCATGTATATCATATATGCACTCAGTGGTTCAACTGCTCCATGACTGTAGCCCCCTGGTATCCATCTAGATCTCCACTTTGCTGTTGCTTTTGTTAGTTTTCTGTTTATTGATTTGTCTAAAAGCTCCATCCGTTTGAACAACTTCATAGCAACTTACATTGCAGCTGGGCTTCAACCTGGACTACTAAAGATGGTCTGAAGGGTACACATGTTTGACATTCTGTATGTGTGTACTTTGTGTTAATCTAGCTTCAGATTGTAAACGTACTAGTGAAACATGACCTCTGCTGTTGTGGCAACATTCAGCTAGTTTCCATTTTTACTTTGCCTGTTTTGAGCTTTCATTTGAAAAAAAAAGAAAAATATATAGTTCATAGTTTGTAGTGCAATCACAAAACCTTCATAAAGTTAGTAATACAAGTGATTGTGTGGATCGAGGTCCTTGGGGGACTAAAGCAGACAAGAGGATGGCTGTAGGAGGCTCTTCCTGTTTTCGAAACTTTATGGGAAACTCATTCCCCCAGTGTTGTGCTTATTAAGAAAGTGCAGCCAACGTGGTTTGATGATGCTTTAATAACGTGTAGAAGAAAGTATATGTTTTATACATATGTGTACATTCAGTACATTTATATGCATTATGCATTTGTTAAATGTAGAAAGTGGGAGCACATTCATCTGGATTAGCAATACAAGCAAATAGAACATTTATTTCCATAGGGTTACAAATGCTGTAAAATGTGTAATTTAGCACAGTCGCCTAGCATCGCCTAAACATTCGGCTCTTTTGGAGTTCGATAAATAGATCATTAAATATCTGTTTGACATCAGTCAAATCTAAACATGATAATGCTGATAATGTTTTTAATTGATTATCTGTCAATACTAATGTGATTATAATATTAGGGGTGGCCAATATGATGATCTTTTAGCGTTGTCGCAATAAATTGTCATAATATGCTAATCTGGGCTTATGGATATCGTCAGTACTTAAAGAACACTGACCAACTGCGTGCTTCGTTAAAAAGGGAGTATAATTAGTTCTGGTTAATTGGATTTAGTACATCACAGTTTGTGAAACATTGAATAAACATTCATAAAAATTCATAAAATGTTGTTATAGGTTTATTGTAGTATTTTTTATTTGAGCCACTAAAGATTCAATTTTGTCTGTTTCAACTCAAAACTCAGAAGAACAATATTGTGACGCATATCATGTATTGTGAAAATGCCTTAAAGTATTGTGATAATATTCTGTCATATCACCCCTATCTGATATCATTGTGCATCCCTAGTTGGTGAACAGTTGTTGTCGTTGTGTGTACAGTCTTGTTTTATAAAAAGAAAAGCATCCTCTACATTTTTGCCTTTTTTACATTGAAACAAATGGGGGGAAAAGCCAGAAATGGAACCTGAAACCCAGCTATGTAGATAGTAAATAAAAAATAATAGTAATTCGTTCTATTACATTCAAACTATGTAATTAATTATGTAGTTTTGCAGAAACATTTAAATAATGATGTGTGTTGTATGATGTAAGCCAGGCATGTCAAACTGGGGACCATCCAGGCCAAAGTGCTGTGGGATTAGCGTTTACCCTCTAAGGCTCTGATTTCAGTTTATGAAGGCCTTGCTAATTAGCTGATGGGCTGAATCAGGTGTGTTTAATGAGACATTGTGCTGAAGTCTGCAGTGTTTTGGCCCGCTTGGACCGGAGCCTGACACATGTGATGTAAAAAATGATGTACATTAAATGTATAGCAGTGAGGCAATAAGTGTTATCATAATATCCAGACATCTAAGAGTTAACAGTGAGCATGTCATGGTTGGATGTGTGCAGTACAAATTGAAACTTCCATAATCACATGTTATGCATTCTCTTTCACAGGTGTATCTCATCAATGTCACTTACTCCGACTCCACGTCCCACGTCATCTACAGGAGATACAGCAAATTCTTTGACCTTCAGGTAAAAATCATACATTCTCTATTCAATGTCTCTCTCTCTCTCTTTTTCCCAGCACCAGGGCTCAGAAATGAAATAGAAAATGAATCAGTTTGCTCTGAGCAGAAAGAAGTTCTAACTATTAGCTGTTATATTCTGAATCTGTATTTGTGTTGATAAGAACATATTCACACAGACGTTTCCTATGAAATTGTGCCTCGTGTAAATCAGTAAATCACTTCATAATTTAACGGATAGACGTAATTATTTACAAGATGTTGCTTGGTAAAAGAAAACTCTTACAGTAAGCTAGATTTACCCCCTGAATTAGCTGTGGTCAAAAAGGCTGAAGACTCTAATGTAGCGATGCCTAGAGAATGACATGTTAAGCGATAGCATGCGAGACATACTGTTGATCCAAAGACATGTGGACCCAATCAACAATACAACACCCTTCTATATAAAGCATGTGTCTGTGCTTTTACCTCCATGAAGATGGCATAAAGTTCGAACACCCCCAGTCAAATTACATGTATCGTTGATTTTCTAAGTGAAAATAAGATTCATATAAAACTTTTTTTCTGCAAATACTAGTGCCCAATTTCTATTTATTTGCTCAGTTTAACATATTAGAAATAAAACATAATAAAACAGAATCAAACGTAAATTATAAAATGTTCCGTAACTTTTACTCAGGCCATATGTTAGGTTAAATTTTTTCCCGGTATGTTAAATTCAGCAAATAAACAGTAATTGTGCATTAAAGTGTGCAGACAGCTAGCTTGAAAAAATAAAATGTGTTAATTCTTAAGTTAGCAAAATAACCAATCACTAAGAATAGTTGAAGCTACACTACGTAAGATTTGGGGGTTTGGAGACCTCTCTGTTGGAAATGTGTAGCTGTATGCAACGTGTGGAAGAACATTTTGTAACATTGGTTGTGTTCGGACCCCCACAAGTGGATGAATCTGATGATTGCAGGCACTTTAAAAGAGTATTCAAAGAGAACTCAATCTACCGACGTGCCTTCTGAGGATGTAAGTGAATTATCTACTATTGTCATCAAATTTTCACCAGTATAATGTTGATTTTGCTTTTGAGACCTAAACATCGAGCTGGACCTTCTTTTTGAGCCTGTGTGTGTGACGTTAATACGCGAAGACGTATGACATGTTCTGAAAAACTCAGCAAAATCTGACCCGATGTTTCTGACTTTTAAAATTATTATTTTAGGCTTTAGAGGCCAATTCACAGCAGTGCACACACACCATATTTTAGTGTGTTCTTTTTTCTCTTGACCCAGTAATGCTACCTCTTTCAATTTTAACAAAAATCTTAGATAGTGGTGCTTTAAGGATGATCAAGTTTTTAGTTTTGTTTTGGTTCCCAGAGAAACACTGTTTGTTAACGGTTTTCGTTTTTGTTTCTCAAACTGGTTTGGTCTCTCTGGTCTCTCTCTCTCTCTCTCTCCCTCTCTCTCTCTCTCTCTCTCTCTCTCTCAGTGCTCTGCCATTCCTCTTACTCTCACTCCTCTGAAAGGACTCTGTAGGGAGTAGGGCTTTGCGGAGCCAGCTCAAACACAAATTAATGTGTGTTTTTATACATTATGCCAGATGTATATTTATGGGTAATTTTGGAAATCTTATCTGTTATATGTACACCCACTCCATAACCGCAATCGCAAGTGCAAATATTCGGCTACAGTTAAATGCAATTATTTTGTCTGTCAAATTCTGCTGTAAGATTTGGAGATGATAAATCTTGTGATAGTTTGCATTTTTAATATACACTGTGCTCTCGCTCTTTCTCACTCTTGCTCTCGCTCACTTGCTCGTTCGCTGCCACAGTGATTGACAGGTTATTTAATATAACGGCTATGAAAGGATGTGAGTTTAATACCATTTAATGTGGCATGCATTACGGACGGGAGCGCAGGGATTACAGATTGACTTTTATGAGCGGCTTTTACATGGTACATGCTCTTGTGCATTACGAAAGCTCTCCTATGTTTAAGAAGTTAAGGCACTCCTTGTAGACTAGCATTTACTTTGGAAAGCATCTGAAAGGGAGTGAACATGTTCAGCCCAGTCCCTCAGGTTTAATAGTGGTCTGTGTGTTGGGGTGGTGGGGGTGAATGTGCACGTCTGGAAACCTAAAATGTGCTTTAAGAATACGGACCATTTGAGGGTTTTGCTATTGTTCTCTTGCATTTGTAAGGCATGTACAGTCATAGACAAATGTGTGAATGCCCCTGGTAAAATGATGGTTCGTTTATTTATTTATTTATTTATTAATTATTTTCTGAGTAAAAATAAGTCAACACAGTACAGAGAACACACTTACTTACTATTAATTTGCTGAATTGGATGTATTGGATAAAAACATAAAATGTGGTCTGAGAGTTGATCAGATGGTAGTATATTAGGAGAAACAGCACAGTGTGCAGTTTCTCTCCTTTTGTATCCCTTTTTTACAAAGAAAGATGAATGTGTCTCACCTGAACTGTGTACAGCTTGTCGTTTGTTTGGTAACACGTGATTATCAGTCACAACTAAGCAGTTTAGGATTTCCAAAGTGCAGGAAAGTTTTGGCACATTTTGTATTTTATGTTTTTCCATTGTGTTAAACTCAGCACATAAATAAAAATTGTGTATTAAAATGTGCAGAAAAATGCCATATTTAAGTGTGATGTCTGTTGAGGACGTGTTTTTTTTTCACTTAGAAAATCAACAAGATTTTAATTAAGATTTAAGATTTAAAAAGGTAAAAATTTAATCAGGATAATTTAAGATTTTTAATTTAATTGGGGGTGTATACGACTGTATAATACTGTTCAAAGGTTCACAAATTTTGGAATCACTTGTCTTTTTAACATTTGTTGTTCTTTTATTTAAGAAATTACTTTTCAATAAAACAGTCTAGATAAGAGATACTTTGAATCCAGTTTCCAGAAACATCCTGTCTTAAATCCAAATGACAAGATGTACACAGCTCTGGTGAGACACATAGATGTTTTATTATAAAATATTATAACATTATAAAAAAGGGATAAAAACAGTGCACATTGTGCTATTTCTCCTAATAAACCACCACTTGTTCAGTTCTCATCATTATTTGGAAATGTAATGCTATTTTGCTAGTTAATGCAAGTGAACTTGTTATGCTGTCTGTCACAGTTTCCTGAAAATAACATTTAAATTGGAACAGAATGACTAATGGTACAAAAGTTATTTTGTAAATCCTGTAAAACTTTTCTAAATTCAGTTCTAACTGAAGTTATCATATTGAATAAACAGATAAGACAGGATTTCAGATTTAGGATGTTTCTGTAATATGACCTTGGTTGTGGATTTTGTTGTCACTGTTAGGTAGAACACCAGGAGTCCAAGCAGTTACATCAGCACTTAAATCAGCTGCCTGTGATCACACAATCCAGGACTATAAACAGGATTCAAACTATGGATTTAAAGACCTTCAGATTGAAATATTATAAAGTAATCACCAAAAGGTTATTTTAAATGTTTTCTTCCATATTTTAAATATTTTGGGAACAACATGAAGTTATTAAATGATAAATACACAGTTGTTATGTATTCAGAGATTGTATTTATTTCTAAATCGTCTTTTGTTGTGTTTTCTACCGTGATCACCACTTTTCACAAATGAAACATTCCATATGTGTATTTTATAATAGCTTCATCTTGATGCTCTTTTGGCCAATTTCCTGGACATATATTAAGCCTAGGCTTGGACTCAACTGCACTGGCAGTTGTGAATCACCATAGGAAAGGCTAGGGTTAGGCTTAATCAGGGTCTGGGATGCTGGCACATTGACTCATCTACAGCTCTGTTCACATTCTGAACCCATCATGTTGCTAGATTGTTCATTTATTTATTAGCTTCCTATTACTTTGAAACTTTGAAAGTTGCACAGTATATGATTATATAAATAAATAAAGCATATATAAATGATTTTATGCAAGTTTTTTTTTAAACAAATTGAAAACAGTAACTTTACTCTTTTGGACAGTGTACTCTATGTGTCTGTTTATAAATGTGCAAGTACATATGTGTAGTGTATGTGTATACCTGTGTGTTGAGCCATTAGAAAGCCCTGGGCCTCTGGAGTCTTCCAGTCATTCTGGTACATGTTAACCCAGCTCACAGACTCATGGGCGTCTATCAAAAGACCCCACTGTGTTATGGAGGAAGCCATGGCAGCCATGCTCCAACCAGGCCAGTGGGGCCAATCTCAAAGCCCCCATTGATAAGCTAAAGAGGCCTGACTGAGCAAGCCAAGAGCCTCCCCTGCAACTCCACAGCCCTTGTGACGACTACAGAAAAGCTGTAATAATAAACATACCAAAGGGGGATGGCAGGCGAAGCTTGGTTGAACTGTTGACAGTTGTCAATCAGCAACCTGCAGGCTTTCCATAGTGTTTTCACATATGGTCCTCTTAAAGACGGTCAATCGTGGTCCACTTTTACGAAACAGACTTACTTTTATTTGTATTCTAGTCCACTTTTACGAAACAGACTAGCTTTCATTTACATTGTAGTCCACTTTTAGAAAATAGACTTAGTTCGATTCATATTGTAGTCTGCTTTTTAAAAATGGGTGTAGTTCCATTTGGATTGTAGGCCTCTTTTAGAAAATTGACATGGTCCACTTTTAGAAGATGTTCAGCTTTGGGCCTTAAAATTGGCCCAAAGCTGTGAAACAGTACCTTATAAGAGAAGGAAAATACTTTCATAGATTAATGTCTGTTAACGGAACTTTGAACCATTATTATTGGTTATTTCACAATGACATTCATGCAGTGTTGAGTTATAAGATTCTCTTATGACAGTATTATATAAATAATATTCTGAACTATAGGAATGATAAAAAGGCTGTGTTTGGAGTTCTCGCATAGGATGGAATGATTGAAAAACAACAAAGAGACTGAAAAGAACAAAGGACCTCAACCAACCGTTCACCAACCGTTCTTAAGATGAAATTTCTTCTTAAAAACCACAAAGAT